ATGCGCTGAGGCTACTGAATGAAATGCAGACATGGTAGCGAGAAAATTTAAAAATTTAAAAATTCGATGTGTGCGTGTAGGTAGGTATACAACGAATGACGGCTCTCCAAGATTTAATCAATTCAGAGAGAAACTCAAATACGACGTTGCCTATACGTGCCAAATAATTCTCTTCTCTTTAAACTGTGCAAAGATAGAAGTGCACAAAATAAACACTAACACAGCGGCAATTATGCTTACGGGACTTCAATACATATACAACTGATATGGTTGTAAATACGAGCGTTTCTGGTGCACAAGCTCACACAAGTGCTCAGACTGGAAGAACTAAGCATGCGGTGGCTTTGGTAGAACGAAGGCATATTTTCCTTGCTTGTTTTGTGTCGCTCATTCGCCATAGAAGCCCAAAAAGAGTGTTGTCTGCACGTTGTAAAGTCCCAGCATGCCTGTACGTGAAAACAAGATCGCTATGCCTCGCTTCTGTTTTACGTACATTTCTTTCAGTGGTGGTTAAAACAGAGGTTGAGCAGCGATGTGGTAAACAATTCAGCTACTATCCAGCGATGTGGTGGATAATAAAGTTACTATCCATATGAAACCAATAAATAGGGCGGACAAAAATGATTTTAATTGAGTATTAAATTTTTGCCTCTTAATTTTTATGAAATGTAAATTTTATTTTTTGAAAATTCGAGACTGTGCAGTGCATGAGGTGCACATATGGACGAGACGCCACTGGATTGATGGTCTTATGGCATGACCAAGCAGGTGTTTTGTGGCCAACATTGTATTCTGCAGGAGCCATGATTTGTGTGCTCTATTGTACGCGCCAGAAACACCAATGTTGCCTGCTGAACATTTGGTAGAGCATAATCATAAGATAAGTGGTCTTCAACAAAGTTGTAGCTGTGAAAATTTCCTACAAGCACAGTTATCATTTTTCAAAGGTTATAGGGGAATTTACGTATTCTCGTCAATCTAAGCAGCGTCCGAACTTCTATTACCGATTTCTCAGCGTCACACGCATACATGACAGGTTTGTTTGTTGACATTTATCTGCTGCTTGCTGTTCTACCAATTCCAATCGACAGAATTGATCAAAACGGACTGAACATGTTTTTACAACGCTCCAAACTTCTCAGGTGAGTGTGACTATTGTTGGCAGTCTCTTTTTCTTCGGCACCCTTTCCATTTGAACTGCGTGTTAACCAGCTGTTCTATTATCGGCAACTCGAAATCAGCCGTATTTTGTAGTGTGTATATTTAATTTAAAGAAAAATATGGCATAACAGGATTGCACAGTCGTAAAAATGTAATCAGATTGAAGCTTAAAAGATAAGGAATCGGCTTAATACATTCAACGAAGAGTTTTGATGGGAAAATACAGTGAAATTAACGTTTCAATTTCGGTTGCCGAAAACAGTCAATGGGTGCCGAAGCCATAATTTACCCTATGGTGAATTGTTAGATAGTTGTGATCCAACAAAATGGCTTTCCCATAGTATTTTTCATATAAACTTCAAATGGTTTGTGCCAAGTTAGTTTCTTACTAAATGAGTTCATTTAAAATTTTGCATCAGTCTAATGTACATAGGGGAAATGGATGTAATGTCGGCCTGAATGCCCCTAATTTGGGCCCATACATAAATTCAGCAATCGACTAAGTTTTCAATAGCGACCAAAATATCCATAAGTACCGTCCCAATGACGCGTTCATCTAGATAAAATTGATAAATAGCCGATTTTTAGCGATGGGCCCAATCTTAGATCCATAGGCCAACATTAGAGCCACTTCCCCTATGTATATCTTGAATTAATTATGTTCGATTATTCTAAGTCTGATGTCTCGAATATTTCACTTATAATCCGGAATATTTTTTCAAGCTCGTAATTCTGAAATTTTTTATTTGTTTCTTACCAAAAATTAAGTCTAAAATCTAAAAAAAAAGTTTTGGAAATTTGTCAAGCCATGGGGTGATGATAATTTTCCTAAATTATTAAAGTGAGAATCCTAAGTAATTTCTAACCATTGGACACGTAATTTTATGTCAACTTTTTTAATCTCCAAATGTTGTTCCATGCCGGAATATTCTGGAACGATACTCAGATTTTTTTGAAAATAATATTATACATTTCGTGTGAAGGTCTCCTCTTTGAAACCCTCCTGGAAATCTCTTTAAATTCTTTCAAAATGCTTAGACATTTCCTTAAAACTATCGTCAGCTTGGAATTCGGCAAAATGTTTTTAATTATATTCAGCAGAGATTCTCTTGAAATTTTTATCGGTATTCCATTGAAGCTCTCCTTAGAATTATCTTTGATTGATTGTTTGATCGATAAACATTTATGAAATTGTCTAGGCCCTAGTATTAGGGGTAGAATATGGTTTCCGTATCATTAAGCTTGTCTTAGGGTTAATTCCTTGGGGCAAGACAGTTTTTGATCATGAGTGAAATCGAAGTTAATTTTGAGTAACACTGAGTAACTCGCGTTGCTCAACATCACGCATAGCAACCGATACTGTCAAGCAAAGCAAATTTACGTATTTCAACATTTTAAACGGTGAGCTTGCACTGCTCAAACGGGAAAATTTTTCGGCAATGGGGAAGCAATTTAATTTTGGTATTGCACGTGTACGAAAGAAACTGCAAGCTGCTCCCTCAAAATCGATGGAAGAGCGGCTTCGCAACAATATCAAAGGGGACTTCGGACAATCCAAAGAGGGAATATGGACTATTCCAGGGGAGAATCCGGACATCCCCAGGGAGGATTTCACTCAATATTGAGGGGGTTTCCAGTCTTTCCAATGGGGGATTCTGGACACTCCCAAACTTCCTTGGTCTTGAAATCACACCACCCTAGTGTTTCCTACCCAGGAAATTTACAAAAATTGTATAGTTGAAGATGCTAATTTAAAATAACAGACTAAAATGGTAATTTTTGTACGGTAGATGAGGAGATGAAAGTATAGAGTTGATATTTCAGTTAGAGTACGGCAGTGTGCAAATTGTATATAGAGGAACAAGGACAACTTTTTAGGAAGGTACAAATCGGTTTGATCATCTCTCTTTACCAAACTCCCCCGTTGGAGAGGGATGGTGAGGGGTATTCCCTGCCACCACTGGCAAAAAGAGATGATCGCCGGCTCGCTCATGTACCGACGATGTGTTTGAAACAGTTCTATCGAATTTCAACTTTCATCTCCTCATCTATCGTACAAAAATTACCACTTTAGTCTGTTATTTGAAATTAGCATCTTCTACTATGTAAATCGTTGACTTCACGCAGAAGTAATACAAAACATATAGTTAAAATTACAAACAAAATGTCATTTCCCGATTCCCGGGAAACTAGTTTGACTTCCCGTGAATCTATTTCTTTGTACAAAAACCATGCAAAACATATTTTTTACTAAAAATTACCACACTACCCAGTTATTGAGGAAAATATAAGAGTCTTTCCAAAGGAGCCAGTAGACAGTTATAGGAGACGTTGGAGGAAATTGCCGGGAAAAGGCGAAAGAAATTTGCAGGGAAACTCTGAAAAAACTTCCCGTATAAATTAGACGACGCTTCCAGGGGTAGCCAAAAGGACTTTCAGGGAAAACTTCGAGGTGAAGTTGGAAGTGTCTTCTGGGGAATGTCAAAAAAATTCAGCAGTAAAAACATCCGGTGAAGTAGAAATACACCACAGTAAGAAAAGTTGGAAGAAACTTCCGTAGAAAGTTGGGAAAGCTTTTGGGGAAAATTGATAGAAAGTCTGACGAATCTTTAGTGCGAATCTTGTGAATCTTACTGGTGAAGAATCTTCCAAACGTAGCCGGTAGACGCTTCTGAGCAATCTGTGAGAAATTCCCGGGCGAAGATAGAAGAGACTTCCAGGAAAAGTTGAAAGAAATTTCTGGGAGTCAGAAGACACATGCAAAGTTAGGTAGCTGGATGAAACTTTCGGAATAATTCAGAAAAGTTTTCCGTGAGAAGTCCGGGTGAAATGGGAAATAATTTCCAATTCCAGCGGTAGCCAGTAGGACTTCTGAGGGTAATCTGAAGATGCCATTGGAATGGAAAGTTGATGAAACTTCGGTTCTTCCAGGGCAAGTTTAAAAATACTTTAAAGCATCTTCCATGCAAAGTCGAACGAAACCTCCCAGAGAAATCGCAAGAATCCTCCCGAAGAAGCTGGTTGAAATCTTCAAGGGGAAGTTGGAAGAAACTTCCAGAAAATGTCGGAAAAACCTTCCGGGGAAACCCTGGCGATGTTCAAATTTTAATAAATAACTACCGAAAATTATAACTGGCTTAATGGATAAAAATATTTCCCGATTCTCGAGAATTCCCGGGAAGAGTGTTCAGCAATTTACGATTTCCGGGTAGCCAGAAATGGGTGGGAAATGAAAACACTAACACCACCACATCATTAAAAACTTACAAGCCATCGATCCCTAGAAAGCAAATGAGGCCTAAGCAGACCCTGGCCTAGGCAAGAGCCATCTTGGATCTTTTAATGAATGAAAACTAAATCTTGAAATCAGAACATTCTGTCAGATGACATTGGTTTAACCAACCAAGTTGCAGTGAGTAAATTTGAGCTACTCATATTTACAAAAAAATTAACAAAGTAGTTAAATATGTTTCATCAAATTATGTTCAAACAATCGTTTGGTCCAGGTTTCTCGCATAGAGTATTTTTGTGCTTGCCACACATGATATAAATTTCCAATGGTTGGCATAGAAAGCTCTCAATTAATAGCAGTGAAATTGGCACAAGCTCGTGTAAGTACCTTAAAGCCAGAAGAGGAAGAAGAATAAGAAGAAGTTATATTAATCCCTGTGACCCATCCAAAAACAACCCAGAACCTACAGATTGACCATCCGTTACGTTGCAGATGGGACTGTGTTTTATCATCAATTGTGCTTTTATATCTTATCTGACCTCAATTAAAATATGAGTCTTCCTTTGTCAATAGCACTCATCATTCTATCTTATATTTTTAATTACAGACCCATGTGGGATGCACTGTTGAAGACAGTGCGATGCGAGATCATCAGTTTCACCAGGAACGAGCAGATTGATGCCTATGTGCTTAGGTAAGTTTTTATCAAGGTTACTTTTCAAATTACTGATACAACGACTGAAACAAGTCTTCTTCAAATCGCACCATTAACCCAACAATCAATTTTAGCTGCAGACCAGCTTATACAGACAAAAATTAGCTTCATAAGGTAAATTTTTCCTGTGCAAGCTTATCTGCAGCTAAAATTATTATTTGTTCTAATTTTTTTTTTTATTGAAATCAGCTTGTAAAAGTGTACAAACCTTTCGCGCAACCAACAACATTGAATTATTTAAGGAATGTTCTGATAAGCTGATTAGAAGTCACATGATTCGACAAGATTCGAACGAAACCTTCATAATTATTGACGAATGGTTGATAGATCTGCTTAACTTGCTATCTCTTGTCTCTGAAAGACGTTTGTCGTAGCTCCGAGTAGCTGTATGACAATCAAAGAGTAGATAAGGCAATGAAAACAAAACTGCAACAGCATATTGTTGAAGAGCAAATATACAGCAAAATAAAAACAAAATGTATTATCAAATTTGTCAAACGCATAAACTGAATTCATATTATGAGTTTAGTTTGATATTGATATCAAAATTTAAATTAGATTTGCTGTCATTTTGATGCTGGACTTTGCTCGGGTAGCTCAACTTCGAACACAACTTTTGAATATCCTGATGATCTCCAGTGTAACTCTGAATGATCTCCAGGATAGTTCAGAAATTTTGCAGAACAATTCGATGTCATTTCATTAGGTCGAAACTGCTTTTGTAAACAATAACTTCAACCACTCACTCCTGCAAACTACCCGAGCAAAGTCCTACATCGAAATGATAGCAAATCGAAGTGAAATTTTGACATGTCAACATCAAATTAAAATCGTAATTTGAGTTCATTTTACGATTGACAAATATGATATCAAATTTTGTTTTCATTTTACTGTACTGTTACTCTGCATCTAAATTTGCTACTCGGCAAGTAAATAAAATTATGATTTCAGTTTGATGTTGATATCAAAATTTGATTTCAATTTGCTGTCATTTTGATTCTGGACTTCGCTCGGGCATACCAACTAGTAGAGGAAACATTCCCATGATTGATAGTGTTGTTAATTTACATGTGAAATAAGGCTTAAATAATTGTTTATAAAAGCAGTTTGGCCCTTTTGAAGTGTTACTTGCTTTCGTGATCTACAGAATGAGGTCATATCAACTTATATAATGCTCCGACATAATGCTAATCAGTGATGCTAATTATCAAATTCAATTGAAAATATATCAAACCGAACAATGTATGTTCTAAGTAACATTGATCGGATCTCTTCATCGAGTTTTTCTTGCGGTAATAACTTGACTACAACACCGTTTCTTGCCGTGTTTACTGTATTAGAGACTAGATAATAACTTCTTTTATCAAACTGTGTGTTGAAAATAGCTGAAAATTTCTATTCATGGCCGTTGGAATGCAAAGACAAAATCGACGAAAACAATCTGTCATTGTCACTTAGAACCTAATGCATTCAGCTTGCAGTTGTTCGCAGATGACTGGCGTTTCAGGTGATGTAAACAGCCCATGAGAATAATTTAGAGAGTGTCACTTCTCTCTCTGAGTTCTTATCATTGGCTGTGTGTCAAATATGGATGTAATTGCAAAAAAAAAACTAATGCAATATTACATCGGTGGTTTGATTACTTAGAATCTAATCCATTATTCAGCTTGACGAAATTGAGAACAGCAACGATCCATTATCAAAAAGACCTAATTCCTGTGGATGGTTTCGATCTGCTTCGTCAATTAACGAAATCATGGATACTCTTTTATTGAGAAACGCTTAAAATCATTCAACTTTGTGTTAGACATCGGTGGTTGAGTGGCAAGCGTGACTGCTTTTTCACCTCAGTGGGTCATAGTTCAATCCCATCCCAATAGAGGACTGGTCGATGGGATTCTAATACAAAACATCTCTTGTCACGTCCTTCGAAAGGATAGTAAAACCGTTGATACCGGCCCACGTGCTGATGGTGTCGCTTGAAGAACAGACACCGACGAAAAAAAAAAACAATAGTATGCAAGAATTCAATTTAGTTAAGCTTGCGGAGCATTCCAATAAAAAAACCAGAACCACATAAACCCGAAATTGGGATTTAAATCTGAACACCTTTAATCTGCGTTCAATTGAGTTGCGTTTGTACGGCAACTGTCATATCGTTCTTATTCTGATTACTTAAGGAAACTATTTGGGGGTGAATGGCGAAGGGTAGAATGAAAAAAGCATGACAATTACAGGGCTGGTCACTATTTTGAAACCAGTCACTAAAAAGTCACTTTTTACACCAAAAAGTCACTGAAGTCACTTTCTCACTACTACCCTCCCCTTGGCTAGTTTTTTAACCTGGACGTTGGTGGGCGGGCCTAATCTTATGCTTCATAGTGGAGCGTTGGAGACGGTTGGTTTAGGTCCGGCATCGTTGGCTCATGCCGTGACAGAATAGTGTCATGAGCATGCGATGAGGATTACTCAGCTTCCCCTCTCTGATGAACCATTGCATAAGCGAACCAAAGTTCTAGCCTGAAGTGATAGTATCACACTTGTTACTCCTTTAGTTGAAAGCCGCGTTGTAGTACGCTTACGTATAGGCACTGATGTTGGGTGCGATACTGGTGGGTTTTGCCGCAAATCACTCTTATTTTAATTATTTTTACGCAGATAGATTTATTTGGGTTTGCAAGGGAATTATACTATTGAAATATTTCAGAAAGTGCCCAACAGTGCTCCTTCTACTTGCGTGACAAGCTTTCGTTGTTGTTTTCATTGAGGTATTACTCAGGGAACAATGTTAAACACCATTTTGGTACATGGTATTGCAACTAATCTTATATGTGCTTCATTTTGATTTGGGATAAGTGTTTGAACTATGGCTCGGGATTTCCACTGTGGCGTGCTTCTATTGTGACATAACCATACGTATTTTTGTGGTGCGACATAGTGGAAACGTGTGAGCGTAGTTGAAGCATATATCCTATGTAATTTAAAAATCAGCTAGGAAACTAACTTCAAAGTGAAGCATTTTAGTCACTTGAAGGTGTCACCTGGGAAGAACTAATATATATTAAATAGGGTAAATTATGGCTTCGGCACCCATTGACTGTTTTCGGCAACCGAAATTGAAACGTTAATTTCACTGTATTTTCCCATCAAAACTATTCGCTGAATATATTAAGCCGATTCCTTACCTTTTCAGCTTCAATCTGATTACATTTTTACGACTGTGCAATCCTGTTATGCCATATATTTCTTTAAATGAAATATACACACTACAAAATACGGCTGATTTCGAGTTGCCGATAATAGAACAGCTGGTTAACACGCAGTTCAAATGGAAAGGGTGCCGAAGAAAAAGAGACTGCCGACAATAGTCACACTCACCTGAGAAGTTTGGAGCGTTGTAAAAACATGTTCAACCCGTTTTGATCAATTCTGTCGATTGGAATTGGTAGAACAGCAAGCAGCAGATAAATGTCAACAAACAAACCTGTCATGTATGTGTGTGACGCTGAGAAATCGCTAATAGAAGTTCGGACGCTGCTTAGATTGACGAGAATACGTAAATTCCCCTATAGGTCAAAGTCAAAAACAACTCGAAACACGTTAAATTTTAGATTACATTCACAAGTGCAGGTACTTAGTAAATCATGGTAGGTAGATTAGAGATTTCAATTATTTATTAAATTAGACTAGAGATATCATAATCATCAAACGAACTTAAATAAGAAAATTTAGACAGCCTAGTAGCATTAAGTGGATTAACAGAAGAGTTAGGATGCGGAGGGTCCGCTTAGGGAGGCAACTAGCCTTTAAAGCAACTGGCAACTAGCCTTTTCATGTATTGTCTATTTATTTTGATTATTACTTTAAAATATCAATTTGGTATATATGTGAAAGGATGAATCAGCGGGAGATGGATTTTATGTTTCTTTACATTTAGCATCACTATGTGTCATTTCCTCAAAACCCCCCAATAACCGGGCTCTTCAATCCCTTCCTTTTCCCATGGCGTTCAAGTGGTCCGCATAGACTATTCAGCCATTACCCGTCCTTTATCCTCGGCTTTGGATTGACTTGCGCTCCCATTGCCCCACCAAACGCTGCAAAATGAAAATGAAAATGAAAATGAAAAAGTCACTGAAGTCACTTTCTCACTACTAAAATAGAGTGAAATTCAAAAATATTAACAAAATGTTTAAATTGAGTACGGCACTAAGAAAGTTGACAGTAGTTTTAACAAAATATACATATCTTTAAAAACATTGAAATTTTTCAACTAGGATGACCAGTGAACCGCAAAACTTGAGAACACCAGTAAAACTATTGGGAAATGCCTTCAATTTCGATTAAAAATCTTCTTTCCTTCTTTCTGTGATAGATTTTCAAATGTCTTTCAAGGATGATTAAGAACTTTAAAAAACCAACGTAAATCTTAAGAGAATTTTAAAGGATTCTAGGGATGACACCAAGTTATATCACAGAAGAATTCCAAAGTACAGACTACGAAAGTCTGATGTAAAATTAAGTGCTCTGAAGACCGATCTTTTCATATCTGCTTAAATCTTAAGCCAGGTTTACCTATATAATTAAACTTGGCTAAACAAATACGACTCATTCCTAGTTGAACACTCAGTCGGTTAACAACGTCCCGGTCTCAGTCGCGCGGCATCTAATTTTTTTCGGTGTTTTTTTCCGCCCGAGCGGTTTTTTCACCCCCCCCCATTGGGTGCCCCAAGTGACCAGTGTGCAACAGAGGAAGTGGAATTCCATGGGCCGAGCCCCTTGGAGTTGCCATCCAGCTTTAATCCACCCCGGTAATCCATCCGGTCGTCAAGTCATTTTTCATCATCGTGCCGACCCACCAACACCAATCATCACCACCAGCAGCAGCAAACGGACCATCTAGCTGCAACGGCTGATAGGTTGTTTACAACCGGCATAAGTATTAGACAATACATTTTGCAAGTCCATTGCCTCCCTAT